AGCTCACTGGGGTCAAGCATACTACAATATAATTATAGGTACAATTTTTTTTTTTTATTACGGAGATGAGAAAAGTCTTCAAAAGACGCCCGGTGGCCCGTGCCACCGGGTGTGTTGGATTCGACCGGGATTAGATTTTCCAGACTCATGAACCGAACCGACAGCGCGTGCCCCCGGCCACGACCTAACCAAGGAGCCCCGGATGCGAATGTGGGGATTCACATTCTCACTGCCAACGGTCCGACCCGGCCGAGCCCAACGCGTGCCGATCGGCACTCCATGAGCTACAGAATCCTTTCCCGGTCACCTACCAACTAAAAAACTTACCTCTTGTCCGTCCTAACCCTTATGAGAGAAGACAGATTTGCTCCTGCGAGCATAGCTCTGTCCCTCCTCGGGGGTCCTGTATAAAGGTTCTGCTGTATAACGCTCGGGAATCACAACTGTGATGCGACAGGGGCATCCTATAGCAAGGTAATCTATATTCTTAACCTAATTACTTAATAATAATAATAATATCATATCGATAATACTAATAATAATCGTAATAATAACAGAAATAAATAAAACAATCATATGCGTATACGCGTACCAGTTAATTGATTGCCAGTTCTAATAGGGCAGGTTACAAAATTACCATTATAGAGTATAAATTCAATTTACCCTTATTTATAATTTCATATATTTTATATATTAAAATAATAATTAATTAAATGAACAATGATTACCTTGGATTAAGAATAATCTTGAAAATTTTTTGGATTAAGAATGTTATTTTCAACCCGGTTGAGTGAAGTGATTATTCTAATCTATAAACGTCAAACACAGCATAAGAGATATATATAGGTTAAAAAATTATTAATATAGAATATAAACTATAGTTTCAAATTACCTTATATTACCTTATTATTATTATCTGACAGTCCATCGCCTCATCAACTTGGATTCCTTGAAGCCCTTTGTTTTACAATATTTCATTCAAGCACTCTACAATTAATGCCTTGTCTAGATCGGAGGATGATTTTACTTGTGGCTCATTTTTTTATCAATTAAAAAAAATTATTTGAGTCAAACTATCCACTCCACAAATAGAATCATTCACCGGTCTAAATTAGGCATAACTGAATGAAATTGTAGGTTATGCATCTCTCCCAGAATTGCCATAGCAGACGACTTTATAAGTCCTTTTAGTGATGTCTTACAAAAAATCCGTCAGACGTCTGTACATCGTCTTTAGGTAATGTCTCAAACACGTAATGAAAAAGACGACTACAGAACGTCGTTAAGACATGCGTGTTGTGTGGGATAATATTATTTAAAGTACAGTCCAATAAAAACTGTTAAAATTGAACATTATATATAATAACATCCCAGACAGCACAATATATCCAAAAGACGTCCAGAGGGTATCCCAAAGACGTTTTTGGGACGACAGGACATCCTCTGGATATCCTTTGGATGTATTTTGCACATGTGTGCTGTCTGGGATATATAATAACACATATAATAACATATTTCTTTTTTACTGTAATAAAAATAAATTTATATTTGATGTGTATTTTAGATACCAAAGTAAACGCACAAAATAAGGCTAATTGTAAGTATTTAAAAAAAAGTATATATATTAAAAAGAGTATTGCAAATCACAAAATTAATGTTGTTTCTTTTATCAAAATTTTTTTACAAATGATACATACAAAAAATTAAAAATACCTTTATATTTTATGTTTTATAAATAAGTTATATGACATATGTCATACGTCATAACTTATTTATACATAATATAAGTTATATGACGTATTCATTTATTATAAAAATATATACAATATACAAAATATTATGCTTTTGTGTTTAACTTTTTACATAGATATTTTTATGTAAATATACATAATATGGAGCACATAATATACATAATATATACACACGAAGCACATAAATAAAAGTATTTTACAGAAATTAGAATATAAATGTATGTAATTAAATAATGAAAATGTTGCAAAAATGTTGCAAAATTAATATATAATACATACACTTTTTTATCCTTTGGAGTGTCTTCAACCTATTTTCAGTCAGGTTTCTTAGCATATAATACACACACATAACTACACACGCACACTACCTAAAAGATTCTGATGTATATGACAGATAGCACTAAGAACTATATAGCGTTTCTCTGATATTATCCGGGAACTAATTTATTGCTGTTTTTTTGTCTGTTATACCGATATTGGACACACACGTATGTAAAAATAGTCGGACATAAATCAAGAGACACGGTAGTGTCTCGCGCCAAGTTCACGCGCAGCGCAAGACCGACCGTGTATCTTTACGCGAGCACATGAGCTGATAGGAGTCGAGATTTTCATATCTCAATAATGCGTGGACCGATCGAATTTATAATAGGCTCAATCGATAGAGCACATGCGATTTACATAATAAAAGTATCTTTACTTTTTTTGTACATGCTTTCTAAAAAAATATATTAATTGCCAAAGTTTGCCAAAGTCGAAATATGCCGAAATCTATGTAAGTCTTGGTCGTCGTCGTCGTCGTCGTCTGTTCGTCATCCTTCTCTAATATATAAGTTTTTTCTTTGTCAACTAGAAGCATCAAAATGCGACATGGTTGTCCTTTTCTACATCCCGTGAAATGTCGATTCCCGCATAAAGCCGTAATCACACGATGCACGATTTTCATGCCTGCTTTTGTGCATTCTGACCGATGCATTGTACGTTGCTCAGTTTGCTGTTTGAAATGCTATATAAACTCATCACACGGAGGTGGCAAGCATGATGGCTCAGTAGCATAGTATGCCTTGTCTATATATGGATAAACAATATATTGAATATATGAAAATATGGATAAACATATATTGGATCTATATTTGATCAATAAAATTCAGCAACGACGACAATTAGCTGCTTTAGCTGTATTATTAAATTGTGAAAAAAAAAGAAAAATGATAAACGCAAGGAAATATGGAATCGAAAGTGGCTGCAAAAAAGATATGAGGGAAGAGGAATGTTACACATGATACAAGAGGAAATTCGGTACGTTTAATGTAAATTAAATCTATTATATATAAAATATATAAATCTGGTAAAAAATTGAGTTTACGGTATTGTCGATATGATATATTTCCTAATTTTCAAGTACGCTAATTGTAACGTTTAATTACTTTTAATCACACAAACAGTTTTAAAATTATTATATTTTTTATCAAAATAAAAGAGACAAACCGTAAACTAATTATTTATTACAAATTTATATATAAAGTAAATTTTACTACTTAATACATTAATTTTATTACTTTTTTAAATTTTAAGTTTAGTCAAGATCCTAAGTCCTATAAAATTTATTCGATGGATGAAATACTTTTGTAAGTAACTATTAATTCGTAGTTACTCCTCATATACTAAAGAAAAGAACACTGTAATGCGTCAGCTATAACTCCTCGTCAAAGGTAAATAATTATAATAAATAATAAATAATTAATTAATATATTTTTAATATGTATTTAATAAAATTGACTTAATTTAATAAATATTCTTAAATATGTTTTTAATAAATTGCTGTTATAGATTAGCTGCTACATTACGCTTCCTGGCATCAGGAAATTCACTTCAGGATTCTTCTTTTGCAGTACGCATAGCTCCTAATACACTTTCGTTGATTATTCCTGATACATTAAGAGCAATAATCCTTGAGCTTCAAGACGAGTATATCAAAGTACATTATTATAATATTATTCCTAAACAAAAATTTTTCTTATATATTAATATTATTATATATATCTTCTTTAAAACTTTATTTTAGTGTCCTAATAGTGAACAGAAATGGGCTGAAATTGAAAGTGAATTTAATATTTTATGGCAGTTTCCTCACTGTATTGGAGCACTAGACGGGAAGCACATAAATTTTCGTCCCCCGAGAAAAAGTGGATCTTTTTATAGAAATTATAAAAATACAGATAGTATAATACTTATGGCCCTTGTTGATGCCACATACAAATTTATATTTGTTGATATCGGTAGAAATGGACGGATGAATGATAGTGCAGTATTTAGAGACAGTGAACTTGCACAGCATTTAAATAATGGTTCTTTAAATTTACCTGAACCTAGCTCTTTGCCTGGGGACACAACCAATCAATCAATACCTTTCGTTATAGTTGCGGATGATGCTTTTTCCCTATCGAACAATTTAATGAAACCATATCCTGAACGTGGGTTAACTCACTGTCAAAGAATTTTCAACTATCGTCTGAGTAGGGCACGAAGAATAGTAGAAAATGCTTTTGGAATGCTAGCAAACAGATTCAGAATTCTTCTCAGCACAATTGCTTTTTCAGTTGATAAAGTAGAATTAATTACTCTTACATGTTGCATTTTACATAATTTTATTTTGTCTCGAAGACCATTTTTGGATAATATAGTTACAAATTATTCTGAAATTGATTCTCAGTGTCATCTTACTAATTTAACTAGGCAACAAGGAGGCAATAATCCTACTAGAAGTGCTAAAGCAATCAGAGATCATTTTATGAACTATTTTAATACTACTGGTTCTGTGTCATGGTAGAATGAGGCTGTGCAAAAAGGAAACTATTAATTTAGTTTGTGAAGAAATATTAAAGAAATATTTATTGTAAAAAAATAGTTAGCTTTTATCATAAACGTACATAAGTGATTATTATAAATGTTACGTCCTGATCAGACTTCACGATTCTTTTCTTTTATTTAAATACCAGACCTAGTAAACACGGGACCAACAAAAAACTTTTAAAGAATATTATAACGCCAGAGCTGTTTTTCTCACGAGACACCATGAGCTCGAACTTTCTTACAGAGAAAAATAGCAAGGGGGATAGATATTTGAAAATACCTTGGTCGGTCAGCGTGCCTATCGTCGTCAGAAAAATACATAAAAGTCAAAACTTGCGGTAACCGGAGTCTTTAGTCGACTCCAGATGCTTAAAGTAGGAAATAAAAACTGGCACTAGCTAGCCATATACTTGGATTCTGCCTACGGGAACCCTAATAGATAGGATTTACCGAGTGACGATCGGGTAATGACCACAGTCGCACGCCTAGAAGGCATGACACCTGATACGGTGCACGTGTTCAGTAGGTCTGGGAAACCGAGATGCATTAATCGCACTCTCCACGCGACCCCAGGGCCACGCGACAGTCGTAAACTGTCAAATTTATTAGATCAGTGACCCAAGGCCTCGCGAACTCATATACCGATTCTCAACCCTCCAATCCGAAAGCCGGGAATCGGGGCAAGCACCTCTATAGACACCCTTCATTCCGTCGTACGGTCTAAAGACTACGCCCACCTAGATCTTAAGACACTGAGATGCACCCCACCTATACTAATTAACACCAACCGGGTTACGCCACCTCAAAAACCTACCCC